TGAAGAAAGAGCTGACTTGTTTGGCTTCTTGAGTGGGCCTTCAAAAAATTCACTCAAGGTCAGTGCGACTTAGTTCCTTTGTACACCCGCATGAACCCACACATTGCATGACCTTGCTTTGAGTTCAGGGGAAAAGGTAGAGTAAGAGTGTGATGTCATGCGTGTGAAGAAAGGGCTGACTTGTTTTGAGGATGGATGAATCTCTGAATTGTTTCTTTTCTTGATTGTGCAGGTAGGTTGGGAGATGCATGTGAGAAGGAATCAACATCGGTTGCTCGAGATAATAATGAGGATGCTTACCTCTCCCCCACTCAGCCTGAATACATGTGACAAAAAAAAGGAGAAACAAAAATAATAATAGAAGCGCGAACGGACGGGTGCCGAAATAATGAAGGCCGTGAGAAAATTAAAAGAAAAGAAGACAAGGGAACATCTTAGTACCTCCCCAAGGATTTCCCCATTCTATCCCGAACGACCACTATCCTTCTATGCCCGTCCAAAATATCTTACTTCTTTCTCTTCTCAATCCGTCTAAGTCGACTCTTAGCCGGGAAGGCATAGAGCCGTCGTCTGCACCTAGGGTCTAGGCTTTTTCTCTCTGGGAGACATCTGAGGCGGGGGTTCGCTGCCTTAGGGGCCGGCCCTGTTATCGACTCGGAGCGGACCGCTTATGCGGGGGGATACCATGCTGTCGCGGTGGAGCCAACTCAACTTCTGAGTTCTGAACAATGTGTTCGGGCGAGGGGAAGCGGTATTCCAACCCACTTCGTAGAGGGAAGAGTGTCTTCAAGCCAGGGGCAGTCGCCTACTCGTGCGTTCAGGGAAAGGGGAGGCTGAATCTAGTACCCGGCCGGATGGCCGCTTTAGGAGCCACCAACGTGTGGGAGGGTTGGCGCCACAAAAAACCTAGCCCGTGATTCAACTAGTGTTAACGGGAGTGCAAATAGGCACTACTCTCGCGATCGGACCATGACACAAGAATCACGGTCCGAGAAGGGGAGTGAAGATTGAGCATGAAAGTGGGTAAGTCTGAATTATTTTGACAAGAGTTACCGCTTCGTCGTTCAGATGCTTGCGGAGACAGTGATTCTCCGATTGTTCAGCACACGCGAGGCGGCGACTAATTGGTTAGAGGTGCCGACACGATCCCGCGCCGGCATGATACGGAAAGGAAGGCTGGTGTACAACCCACTTGAAGTTTACTCGGAACGGGATGCGCCGCGATTCTGGGACGGAAGCGTGAGGAAATCACCGCGGAGTTATATTTTCTTGGTTGAGCCAGGCCAACGTATCGTGCGATATGATCTTGCGCCTCCTAATCCATCACGAGATTATGGAGACATGAACCTAGTTGTGGTTCACGAGGACAGTCAGGGAGTAGAGAACATTCCTGAGGTTAGAGGGATTTTCCTCCATATTGTACCCCATTTGAACGATTTGCAAGGTTCGTTCGGCCTCCTCCATCACGTGAGACGGGTCCGAGCGAATAGATTTAATATCATTCGCTCGGAACTTTTCGACGTCACCGAGTTTTATAACGAGGCTTGTGAAGTTTATGAACGCCTCTTCTAACAGGTGGCTTCTTCGGTGTGCAGATGCCTAGCGGACGGCGAAACCTCACTCTGGCCAGATATCTACTGATTCGCGACACTACGGACGAGGAGTTGATCCGGCGAGCGGAGCGATTATTACTAGTTCGAGATAGAGCTCCCACGCGGTGGATTGGTTTTATCGGCCTGCTCAGTGATGGGCAGGGATTCTTTTCCAACTCCCGCGCGGATGTTCGCACCAATGTGGCCCGACTTCCGGACGAAGTTCATGGATATACCTTGTACTTCCATCGCGCGAGCAACCTCCAGTGCCTCTCACGGGTCATCGTGAGCATTAAAATTACCCTATCCGGGGAGAGCTACGGCGTCGTACGGATTAAGGACACCACGACCACACACCTGTTTCGGATGCGTCAGCCATTCCGCGCCATAGTCTGGAAGCTCGCCTCACGGATGACTTCTCTCTATGATACGCGGAAGGTTCAATTCTCGCGGGGTGAACGCGTCTCCACCTTGACTTTTGATGACAACTAGCTTACGCGACTTGACGGGATAGAGGCTGAGGCCCGTGAGGGCCGACAGGTTTATCCTGGCTGAGGGCACCCTCTCGGGTCAGGTGTAGTGGTAAGTTGTTCTTTTGTAGGGCCACATCTACGTGACTCTAGAAGGGTAATAATAAAAAAAAAAAAACAGCAATCTTGCGTAGGTAGGCCAACCAGATGGATAGTATCTGGATTACCCCGATGATGGCACTATCATGCTTATGCATTGAGGGGTAATCGATCGCTGAAGAATGAGCCGAGCAAATTGAAAATCGAACACCTGAGAAGGTGTTGAGCAAAAGGGCGAGGGCGAAGTATCAGGAGATGAAACATCTCCATACCAAGTATCTGGTGTCGGAGATGGGTACCTCGTCATTCGTGGAACAGAGAGAGTAATTATTGCCTTAGAGGACAAATTGACCGACATAATTATCAGTTGCTCCTCCGAGTAGATGTATGGGGTACGACAATATGGTCGAACCGGGAGCTCAAACATCGACCAGGAGCCAGATCACTTGTTGATCTGCATGGTACCAGCGATATTTACTTGTTAAAGTTGTGCGCGACGGATCTTCCGTCTTCGAATGACAATACACTTGTCTCTTCAATCCTGTGGGCACGAAATGATAACCTTGACATACCATCTCATCAAGTCGAAATGTTGTTTATGTATTGGTTTTATTCATTAGTAGGGGATTATAAAGGGACTAGGACTATACATTGGGTTTCACGTTTGGTTGAGGCCGTCCTAGTCGACCGACGCTCGTTCGTACTGAGGAGATCAGCGCCCTCGGGAACGGACAACGTTCGGGTCCACTTGGCGTTAACAAAGTGTACCTATACTCCAGCGAGCGAGCAAACGCCCTCGGCTGACCTACTTCTGCAAT